TGAAAGGTTGCCTTTAAAAAACGCCTTTCACTGTTCATGTGGAAAAAGAGTCTTATAAAACCAAGCATATCACTTTCAAGCTAAACATTGGCTCTTTTGAACACACTATATTCAATTCTCTCTCTCTCTCTCTCTCTCTCTCTCTCTCTCTCTCTCCCTCTCTCTCTCTCACTCACTCTCACACTCTCTCTCTTTTATTAAATAAAACAAAAATCATTCTTTCGTTCTCTCTGTCTGTCTGTCTGTCTGTCTCTCTCTCTCTCTCTCTCTCTCTCCCTCTCTCTCTCTCTCTCTCTCACACTCTCTCTCACAGAGAGAGAGAGAGAGAGAGGGGGGGTCATTCGCGACCTAAATTTGGATTTTTTTTAAATAAAACAATATTCATTCATTCATCCTATTTATCTATCTCTCTCTACATGTCTCTCTCTCTCACAGAGAGTGAGAGATAGAGGGAGAGACAGAGAGAGTGTGAGTGAGTGAGTGAGAGAGAGTGAGTGAGAGGGGGGGTCATTCGCGACCTAAATTTGGATTTTTTTTTAAATAAAACAATATTCATTCATTCATCCTGTTTATCTATCTCTCTCTACCTGTCTCTCTCTCACAGAGAGTGAGAGATAGAGGGAGAGACAGAGAGAGAGTGTGAGTGAGTGAGTGAGAGAGAGTGAGAGGGGGGGTCATTCGCGACCTAAATTTGGATTTTTTTTTAAATAAAACAATATTCATTAATTCATTCATTCTATTTATCTCTCTCCACCTGTCTATCTCTCTCTCTCGCTCTCTCTCTCTCTCTCTCTCTCTCTCTCTTTATCTATCTATATATCTATCTATCTCGTTAATTGTCAGGGAGGTCATTCATGACCTAAATATGTATTTTTTTTTTTAATAAAACAATATTCATAAATTCCTTCTCTCTCTATCTATACATCTATCTTACCTGTCTGTCTCACTCTCTCTGTGTATCTACTATCTATCCCATTAATTGTCAGAGAGGTCAGTTATTCGCGACCTAAATTTACAAGAGTTGTTAAATAAGACATACTCATTTTCTCTCCCTTCCACCTTCTCTCTCTCGCTCTCTTTTCTCTTCCTCTACTCTTGTTTTTCTATTTATCACTCACATACATAAAAAAACACCTATTTTCAACGTGAAATTCATTATTGTTTAATGTGTGTTGGATCGGACGTATATAAACAGCAAAATCTCACTGGCACTCTCAACACGACACACAAGAATGACACAATTACGCAGAAAACAAACACTGTGAGTGCAAATACCTTGATTGAATATAAAATTTTCTAGCATTGTATAAATTCATTTTTTTCACATCCTACATGTATTTGTAAAATTTAAACAATGTTTATAAATCCCAGGCCCTGACCTCAATAAAGATCGAAACGTTGGCACGATAAAGAAAATGTTTTTCTGAAACCTACATTACACCAGACCGCATCTCACGATCTCCGAATGATTGTTTATTGTTGTTTTGCTGAACTTCTCAGTCAACTTTCGTCCGTCGATGAAGGAAAAAAAGTTAATGCTAACTGATCTTGGATTTTATTTGGGATTGTGAGATAGACTGCAGAATGATGATTCATTTTGGTCGGCAAATCCTGATTGGGATGTTCTGTCAGACGCGTTTGGACATTAGGTCATCTGTATCCACTTGGCACCATCACAATTATCAACTTGTTTTCAATTCACAAAGAAATATCGTTGCAAATAGAAAACTTGCGACTGGCCAACCAGACCGACCCAGAGATGATAGACCAAAACCGTGGCATCAACCAAATTATTTGGGATTGCTGTATTCATCACAACATAAATACGCAATTGCTAACGTTATATTTGGTCAGAATTTGATTTTTACTCTAAGAATGACATTCATTTTTTCATCAACTTCTTATATTATATCAGTAAATAAACTTGTAGCTCCGTTGTTTCCTATCTTTTTGGTCTTGCTATGTTCTCAAGTTTTCTCCGACCAGTGGATTGATTTGTGGTCCCCCGTCAAGTAATTGAGAAAAGATCTAATGCTATCCTGATAAACCAAAACACCGATTAAACTTCATTACCCAGCAGACTGTGTAAATTATGATTTTTAATTGTTATTACCACCATTATTACTGTTTCATTCTATCTATAACATAATATAATGGCCAAAGGATGTGATTATTTACGCTGATAGCCTTCCATTTTTCAATATTAAAATAACTTGGGGTATGTATACAACAATAACGTCTTTACTGTACATACAAACATTGATAGCAAGTGTACTTAAATGCATATATCAATAAAAGCAAAAAAGTGTAAAATATGGAGTCTTTGCAGCAGTATGAAAATTAAAATATAAATTAAATCTGCTCAAGGAAAAAATGAACCAAAAGTAAGGAAGTTCGTCGACTCGTTTTAGAAACAGCTTTAATTTTATTTTTATTGTGACATTCAGACATTAAAATGTAAAATAAAATCTTTAAAGTTATACTAATTTGTTAGTGTTTAGTCTGTTTTCAGCATATAAAAAACATAAATAATTATATTAGGGATAGGGATACAAGAAGTGGCCACAAAACCGACCTAAAAGTTCTATTGTGCCTATCTACTTTGGGCTCACTTGTCTAGCTGGCTTGGTTCTTTTATGAAAGAGACTGCTTGTGTCTTGTCGTCACCAAGCTGTAGAAATCTATGCCAAGATTTACAGTCCTCCAACTTCTTCGTTTTGGGAAAATCCACTCAATGGTCCTTTCCAGTTAGTCTTCTTAACTTATTACAATCCTTGGTTTATGTTGGTTGCCATAGATAATCATAGCCAGTAACAAAGCGAGATTTTTTTCCGTCAGATCTGTTATTTGGTTATTACCAAGCATTATGGCCCCAGTACTGAAGAGGCCAAAATGCCGAAACTTGTCTGCTCGAGTGAAAATGAAAGGGTAGGTAGACCACAACGATCGTTAACAACCAAATTACTTTACGTGATTTATACGAAGATACCATTGTAATTATAATTGAATACCTACTCACTATTATTTGAATTTTCCCTTCTCTTTGACAGTTTTCAAATGTCGTGTAATCTATTTGATTCTCGGTGACAAATGAAATAGCCACGGAGAGCTTTAGTGAAGAACTACTTGGTTTATCTTATTAAATTCACTAGTTTTCGTGGTCTACTTGACCAATTAGTATCTTTCAATTAATTAAGGTTTTTAGTTGAGATAAAAAAGTCAGTGTCACGAGGGGCATTCAAACCCACGACCTTCGGCTAGATACACCGCTGCTCTACCACTTGAGCTATCGTGACCTTGATCCATTCAGACACTAACTTCCCATCTCAACCCCACCTTTTGAATTTTCAACATTATTTAAAAATATGTAAAATATAAATATTACACATAAGTTTTTAATTACTACTTTTTTCTTACAAAACGAAATGCCGTTGCAGCAATCAAGATAACATGTTTTTAATAGCATGTTGCGATCCATAATATTTTTTAAGTAGTTTAACTTTCGCACTATAATCGCTATGAGGTGTTGGAAAGGTTTGAATTATTTGTTTGAAATATTACTTTGCTATATCTGAATTAAAAATTTAAAAAAATTAAACATAAATGATCAGATTTATAGTTACGTGTAGAACAATTATCTCAGCTTTGAAGCCTGAAAACTCAGCAGTTAAACACTTTACTGTTAGATCATTGTTCAACCTCTCAATCAAATTGCAGCTATTAAACAATCAATCTTCATTAGTATATTTTGCTACTTAGTACTTAAAAGATACGACTTTAATAAGTAAGAAGAGGTTGAACAATGAACTAACAGATGTAAAGTGTTTAACTGCTGAGTTTTCAATATAACATCAAGGCTGAGATAATTGTTATACACATAACTATAAACCCGATCGTTTATATTTTAATTTTTTTTTAAATTCAGATATTGAGCAAAGTAATATTTTAAACAAATAATTCAAACCTTTTCAACACCTCATAGCGATTACGCCCGAAAGTTAAATTGCTTAACAAATATTTTGTATATATAAGGCAGCAGGTAAAGTTCTTCCATCTTGGCCATGCGGCTCGTCGAAATAAAATTCCTGAAACGTCCAAATAAATTTTTAAATAAGTGAAAGGAATTTACTTTTTTGTGCCACATATTTTTAAAAACAAAAAACAAAAATTAAAAAAATAATTACTCTACACATCTCAATTTTAAGGGGTTAATCCCAGGTGTGGGGCACATTGGATCATCAAATCCATGATCGCATGGAATGTGAAAAACCGAGAGGCTTTCGCTGTAGCCCAATTGACCGACAACGAACATATAAAACTACTTGTACAATAAATGCCTAGATATTGCCATAGGGTAGTAGAAGACATGCTAATTACAAATTGAAAATAAATTCTGATTACTAATTTATATAAGCTCAACTTTGCAAAACGTATGTACATACATACAAACGTGTACAGAACCGAACCTATAACTTTTCACAGTCCGGCAATTCCAGCTTTTGAAATTTACTATAAATTATTGGCAGGTATTGAGAATCACTCACCCCAGGTATTGGCAGTACAGGTTAGACCTCGTTCTTTGATAGGTCACCAACCGAACTCTTGATACGTGAGAACTTCTCCGCCGGTCTGGCCCACCAAAGCTGCCACTTTCTTTTAATCATGATTTTTATTTGGATCACAGTAGTTAAGTTTTGAAGTTAGGATGTCCTGGCCTTAGCTTTATACCCTGAATTCTGATTAAGAATAGATTTTTGTTAAATTCATTCAGGGTGCCAATAATTTTTTATGCTGAATTTGTTAATAAGAAATAATTAGTCATAAAAAATGCTTCTTTATTGATTATTTAAAATATAATAATTACTTTTTGTTAATTTTTTATTATATCTAAGTAAGAAATTTACAGTTTTAATTGGTAACAAAAATTAAATAGTTAAATAATAATAATAAAGTGAATTTCACAATCAAAAATTAATACTGTTTCGAGAAAGGTAAGAAAATTAAATTGGTTAACTACTAGATTTTATTGATGTTAGGTCAATAAGCCGAATGAAATTCACAAACAAAAATTAATATTACTCAGATAAAGGTAAGAAAATACAATTTGTTGACTTCACTGACTGTTATGTTCTTTTAATTATACTTTAAAAAAGCAAGTATTTTTTAATTTTAATTTTATTTTATTTTATGGCCTTTTGAACTTTGCATATTAGCAAAGAAATGTAATTCATCATAAGCATTTTATTATTATTATTATTTTTTTTTTGAAGTGTTACATGAAAAAAAGGCCAGGGGCCACTCGGCTACCACTATCCTGGTAAAAAAACTACTTCAATAATTTAAAGAAATTTCTTATAAATATATGGGCCAGAATAAAGCGCTTTTGTTTCAGTCAATCGTTTTACATACACTACACGCAACTTCATAAAAACTTTCTGTTAAATAAGTTACAATTACAAGTTACAATAAGTTACAATTTGTATATTTGACAATACTGGAACAAAATGTGTTTTGTTAAGACTTTTAAACCCCACCACAGGATCTATCAACAGTGATTTCAGATTGCATGTTGGTGGAAATTTCTTCATGCTTTTCTGCCACCAGAGCAAATCTCGAATGTACAACTTTGCCAGTTTTAATTGCTGACATCATCTGAAATTTACATTGATTCATGAGAGTACAGTCATTTGAAGGAATAGAAAGATTTACATACCATGAGGTATTCATCCAGTTCAACCTGGCCATTTTTGTTGGTATCGATTTCCTTAAGAATCTCATGTAGCTGCTCACCGGAGATTTTGACACCAAATGACTGAAATATATATAATAAGATTTTTTGTATATTAAAAATAATCAAAATATACCTTGATAGAACGTCTTATGTCATTTATTGATACATATCCCTTATTGTCGGAATCAATCATTTGGAACCTATTTGTATATATTTTTATTTCTTCATCTGTAAGAGAGAGGTTCTGTGGTGCCGGTTCTCTAGAAATCCTGTTCACTTGGCCACCCATTTGCACTTTTAGAAATTCACTTGCTTGGTCAAATTGCCTCTATAGATGTCATAATTTAATATTTGTTTCATACTTTTGTAAAAACGAGTTCATTACCTTTATCTCGCCTTCTGACCACTGCAACTCTTTGGCCATGATGTCAATGATGATAGGAAGACTCTCCTGCGCGGCTTGCACATTAAGGAAAGCGAGCCGGATCCTCCTTGCAATCATGTCGACGGCAGTCACTGCATACTCTTTAATCCCATATCTTACCTAATCAAGTGCCAATAATATACAATAAAATAAAATTAAATAAATAATTTTTGTATTGGTAGGGAAAGAGGTACATCAGTTTCAAAACATACAAACTACTAACAGAGGTATACCAGAAACCACAACATGACATTATTTCCAATCCATATTTGCTTAGTGGTCATATTATACAGTTGGCTTTTAATTATTCTTTAGGAAGTCAAATAGAACTCTAAAATATTTAATTTACAATTTATCACCATGTATGGAATCCTCAGATATATGGAGGAAGATCAGGGCAATTTCGGGCAAAAGTAAACCCCCAATTATGCCAATACTTCGTACAGAAGACATGGTCATAACAGAACCGTTTCAATTGTTGAGCGTATAGCTCGTCATTTTGAATCTGTTTCTAATACTAACTGGTATTCAGAGCGTTTCAGGCAGATAAATGAGGAGGAAGAAAGACACGATTTAATTTTGCAACTGATGAAGAAGTTTGGAACACTCCCCTCATTTGGTTCATCTCAGCCAAAAACCTTAAATAAAAAGAATAATTAACTGGACATATTGACACACAGGCACTTGCTTCTGGGCACGCAAAGAAGGGTTGCTCGAATGGACATTTAAAGAAGATTGGAACTGGCGTTTACAGAATTTGTTAATAATGAAGACTCTAAATTCTATTTAGAGAGTATAGAAAAATTGCCATCTTTTTGGGAGGTGTATTGAGAATGATGGATTAATAAACTAATTTATTTAATTATTTTTATTTTATAACCATAAATCTGCGCTATTCTCTGGAAGACCCAATACAACCCTTACCAAACAGAAGGATGCTTGGATCCATTTGAAGAGTCACTACTGCTGCTGCTTTTAGTTTTAATTTGCTGTTCTCTCTTTTTCTCAGTGTTTAATAAAAAAATGTTATGTTAAAGGGTTGTGTTGTCTTTTTCTCAGTATATTGATACCAACATTTTACGTTAAGTGTTCTGTTGTCAAAGTTTTGCACAAGATGTCTCATTACTAATGTTCTTAAGATTATGTCACCAATAAAAATAATAATTTTTTTTCAGTTAACGCAATGTACAGTTACCTCTGCATCAATAAAAGGAAATTCAGGATGAAGCTTATTCCCAATGATGGGCCATCTTTTCCCTGTTAAGGATGCGAGTTTAGCAACGGCAAAAGCCTTGTCACCGTAAGCATTTGCCAAATGCTTGGCAACTTCACTCTCCAAGCCAAAGTCTTGTACTAAACGTATATACATAATTGGATTCCAGGCATCACCTCCTTCTATAGTCACATGCAGTGTAACACTATTTGGCACAGTGGGTTTCAACGATGGGACAGCTGCAAAAATTGAAATTGTTTTGAGATGTCCACTTATTTAAAACAAAACCAACCTTTAATTGCAGCGTCGATTGTATCAGAGGCCATTGCTCTATAAGTGGTCCATTTTCCACCTGCGACGGTCACCATCTTGGATGGGCTCACGTGGATAATGTGATTTCTGGCCAATGACTGGGTATCTTTTTTGTTTGGGTCAGATACAAGTGGACGAATTCCACTCCAGGCCGACATAACATCTCCTCGTCTCATTTCCACATCCGGATTAATGTATGATTTGATTTCTTTGAGTACAAATGCAATTTCCTCCTCAGACGGAGCGGGATCATGTGAAACTTTGCATGGCATATCGGTAGTCCCAACTATCGTGTGATTAAGCCAGGGAAGAAAGAATATCACCCTACCATCTGATGTGCAAGGATCGAGAAGACCCATTTGGTCAGGGCTTTAAAAAAAAAAAAATTGTTTGAGTGTCTAGTATAAATTTATCATTTTATTAATACACGAGTTTCAGTTTTATAAATCGTAAAAATTTAATTATATATGTACAATTGTGAAATGTATGTGTAATATAAGTGGAGGCCACAGTTAATAATCACCACTTCACTTTAGTAAATATTTTCAGTTAATACTGAAAGTGGTCTTCATTATTTCTACAATTTAAAAATACTCAATCTGATAAATCGTAGTGGGTTGTTAAAGGAAGTCCTTGTGCATGAAGAATTTTGTTCCAAAATTAATATAAACCACTTACATGGATTTATTCCTCAAAATACAAGGCATTATTTTCTACAACTTTTACACGTTTTACAGCCATTATTATTTTTGGAACACCTTCAGTATCCAGGCACAAAAACAAAACTGGAAAAGACCAGACAAATGGTGCAATGTCAGGGATAAAAGCAGGGTGAAATGATTACTCAAATCTGTGAAACATATGAACATACATACACACCTATCACTACTCGCAGTACACCAGCAATTTCAATTCTAGCTTTTGTAAATTACCGGTATGCCTCAAGAATCACCCACCCCGGACTTATCCATCCAGGCACTAATGAAACTGATGAAGCCACCCCTGCGCCCCCATAATATCAGCAGCTAGGTCATTTTAGACCCAAGTGATATCAGTCCTTAAATCCAAACCCATCCACACTCTCACTTACTCTTAAATATAATTTCTTCATGCTATTTTCCATGGGCCTCATTGTAGCCATCAGCATGGAAAGCCATCAATGGGGGGAGTGCCAGGCAGCAGCAGTTACATACTCGGCCTAGTCCTTTTCATTCTCACTCCCTATTCACTGCTGGAACTGGGCTAAATGTAAATTGAGTATAACTCAAGTTTTGACCATTTTGTTTTCAAAATTCCATGTAATCTTCATAGATGTTAAGAAGAAAATTTTGAGTAAATAATCCAGCTATTTGGAGCAAGCTCAGAGAATCATAATTCCCCCAAAAGAAAAAGTATAAGCATTTAGGCTTCCCACTGTTTAGAGTTGATAGTATTTTTCAAAAGTACAACTTTCTATCACTTGTCTCAATTTTTTTTTACTACGAGGGTTCACAACAGCAGAGGTCATATAAACCTCAGGGTGCCGGTGTTTTTTTTTTTTTTTTAAAGTCCATTTGTAAGTATGTCGGGTTCGAATGCAGGGCCGCTGGATTCTAACCTGGGACCTTTACCTTACAGTGATGAGCATCGTGCCAATGCTTAAACCGTTGCGGCCACTGACATCCCCCCCTTGATTCTTCTACTAAATATTTCATCTGATATATTATTCTCGTTTTTTATTATTATTATTTGTTAATGGTCTTATGAACTATGCATAATAGCCAAGGATACGTGCATATATATGCATAAGCTTATTTTTTTGGGAAAGGTTATCATGAAAAAGGGCCAGGACGAAGGGACTCGGCTTCCATGGTCCCATCTGTTATACTTGGTCCAATGCAATCATGCATATATGTTAAATTTTTTTAAGATAACAACATTCATTGGCATTTGAAGCTCCAATTTTAGATTATCTGTATGCGGTAACACACAAATCCTGTCTTACACTCTCGAGTAATACGGTGAAGAGCAACAAGATCAAGATTGATATTGAATTGCTGTTATACATGTTTAAACAACAACAAAGCACTGCCATACCTTTACTTCCCCCCAATGAAAAATTGTAAATTTGAATTTTTTTCTCATTAATTTACCTTTTTAATGTAAACAGTGCTAAAAATTATATAAACAAAAATCAAATAAATATATTAATATTTTACTAAAGATTTATTTAATATTTTCACGCAAGAGAAAGTGAAGTCAAGGGAAAAATGGTTGAACTTGACTGTTGAAAGTAGCCCAATAACTACCGCAATTTTTCCTTTATCAGATACAGTAGATTACAGAATGTAGCAATTAATTAATTTTTGGCTGGAGAAAGATGGATAAATAATTTATATTTAATTGTAAACAACACATTTTCATTGGACATATCGAGAAACTTTATGCACCGAACTAAAATTACCTGTAGTAACCAGGAAGGACAACATGAACACCAGAACTTGGAGAACAAATATTAGTGACAGACGGATCATCCATTTTTCGAATACTGTCAGTAAATGGCCCGGTTGCGTTTATTATACATTTGGCTTTACACTCCCATTTTTCACCTTAAAAATAAGTACAATCTCAAAATTTAGACATTTTCTAAACAGAAAATATTTATTACCGGTCAATTCGTTTTTAAGGACAGCTCCACAGCAGTAACCGTTATTATCTTTTAACAAAGACTGAACACTAACATGATTTGCGATTGTTGCTCCATATCTAGTTGCTGTAATTGCAACAGCCAGGTTCATTCTGGCATCGTCCTGCTGGCCTAAAATAAAGTAGATTGAAAATATTAACAAAAAAAACAACAATATCTGAACAAGAACAATTAAAACACACCATCATAATAAACAATACTGCCACATAGATTTTTGCTTTTTAACATCGGAAAGTGCTCCAAGGAATCACTTTTATTTAAATAGTAAGAGGACTTTACGGACTTAGTGCCAGCAACAAAATCATACAATTTTATACCTGACCAATAATACGGGATTTGCCACCATCTAAAAAAGTAATAAAAAATATTAACATTTAATGATAGTTTGAAGGTTAATAATGATTTTCAAAAAGTCAAATCCATTTTTTTCTTATTAAATAAATAAATATTTATTTAAATTTAAATATTAATAATTAAATAATAAATAAAATTATGTAACGTGTATTTTCCGGTCAACTGTACATTTCTAATTTCGCCCAACTTCACCTTTTTGAACAAATTACTTTATCTTGGAAATGCATTCAATTAGATTTTACCCAGATTATAGTCAAATTACATAACTGAATTCAAAAAGATTCTTAATTGTGTTTGCAAAGCAATTGTAGTAAAGATAAGTTTTTTCTTTAATTACTATCATAAATATGACCCTCAAAACTTCAAAAATATCAATATGGAAAATTATTAATTACAATTCCCATGGGATAAATTGGTTTATCCAACTTTTCGACAGTTATTATTTCATATCTCTAAATGCCAAAAAAATTGAGCTTCGTCTGGAGAGCTGCGATAACAGGGAAAAATCAAGAGAAAAAAAAATAGGACTTGTACAATAATATTTAGAATTGTACAATAGAATTTCGGTGTGATGAAGGTCATCCAAGTGTAATTATATCATTCATACATTAAAGATTAGGGTAAAACTTCAGACAATTATTAAAAGCATTTTTTATGTCCTGTAAATCAACAATAAAGAGTTTTTAAACAGCTTTTTTCAATTGTGCAACAATTAGAAAATATAATCCCTAAATACAATTTAAAAATTTAAGTAACGAGTACAAATTTAAATAACTCTGGTAAAAATGTTTTTACCTATAAAGTGGCAGCATAATTGGAATAGCGTGAGTTAGGTGTGGTGCCAGGTTGAGCATGTTTGCTCTTTCTTGTAGCGCTTCTTTCACCATGTTGTATTGATTGTGGTCTAGGTTGAATACAGCTTTCTGGAGGTATCTAACTCCCCCATGAATGAGCTTAGTGCTGCGGCTACTAGTTCCAGAAGAAAAATCATCATATTCAACAAGAGCAGTTTTAAGCCCTGGAAATTTATCAGTTTTATGGTCTTGGTCAATTATTTATGCTAAAGTTTATTTTTGTTAATTATTAAACTTTTGCTGAGTACTTTAGATATCATTATATCACATCGAAAATATGGTTTGGTGAGCAATAATCGGATAATTTTTATTTGTAATTATTGGGTAAATAAGAAACCCAAGAGCTCCATTGTAAAATCCATAGGATAATAAACCTATTTTCCTCGGTAATTTAGCCGTTACTGATCATCCTGCTCTGCCTCTCCTTGCTGTCTTGGGTTTCAGCATTTTGCCATTTTTGGTGTTGGTTTTATGTTGTGGTGGATTTTTTATCTTAACCTGAGGATAGGCAGACAGAGATGATTAGTAATGTCTAAATCATAGGTCAATGCAGACCACACAGAGAAGCCTCTAACTTTTTTTTAATATATGAATGATTTAATATATGATACATTTTTTTAACATATGAAGCAACGTACATTGTTCTTATTCCCTGACAACAACACTTTTGTTGAAAAATGCAAGATATTTTAAAGTAAGTAATATTTTTAAGTTTGTAGTTTTGTTTCTGATCATTCTGGTCTTTTTTATTTATTTTATTTTTATGTATGACTGAAGATGGCAAACTATGCCGTCAACCCACAGATTAACCCCCTCCCAAAAAAAAAACAAAAAAAAACCACAGTGAAATACAAGAAAAACTCTCTGGATCTTAGAAAAGGAATTTACGGTGCAAATGGGTTAAAGCGCATGTTGGAGTCAGTAGAAATGAGCTACAGATAGATATGCTAAAAAGGCGGCTTTGGATGAAAACGTGGCTACTGCGTTTACGCAGGTACAGGTCATATACTTGATGGAAAAAAAAAATGATCAGAGAAATGACTCTGGCAAAAGGGAACAAGAATGTGCTCCTTCCAGCGAGGGACTTGCAATCAAAAAGTTCTTCCCAACAATGGCCTCATGTGGAAAGTCCTCCTTGGCGGAGATGAATGGCCACCAAAGTAAAGTACGCTTTTACAGAAATGCACAGATGATCTGGGTTTATTTTTGAATTCTATGAACTGTGATTTAAATTATGACAGCCTGTGATAATATTGTGTTAACAACAAAAGTCGTGTTCTATACATTTAATTTTACTAATTTTCAATGATGGAACGAAACTTCTTCCACTTATAAAACTTTATATTAAATTAAAATTAAATGAATAATTAAAAAATAAAATAAAATGAAATAAAATGCAAATGTTAAACTCTCATAATCTAAAGGAACAGGAATGTACATGGCAATAAATGACCTTCTTCCAGGGTAGGAGGTAGGCAAAAAAATTGTTATTAATATGATTTGAAAAGCAAGTGTTTTATTTTGAATATTAGTGACATTTGTCTAGACTTTTTTATCGGTACAAAAGATAGTGTTACATCATATAATTACATAAGGCATAAAAATATCTATAGACCATATTACATAATTAAAATTATAATGATTTTCGCAGAAGAATTATAAAAAACTATAAGTCATCCATTTCAATTCTATGCTAGGTACAATTTTGCCTTTATAATTGGCAATAAAATTGTAATATCATAGTACCCAGTTTAAATGCACAAATAAACTTAAAGTAATATGCAGGCAAAATATAATTGTGTGATTTCAAAAATGACAATGGTTATTTTATAAAAATATCTTAAAATTTAAACATTGCCTGATAAATCTAGCAAGGCTAAATAGCAAAAACTATATTGTTCATTTTGGTGCTTGCTGCAGAATACTAATTATGATGTCAACCTCCAAATATTTCTAAAGAAGAATATTACACAAGAAAACTTTCATCTAATCAAACCGAAGCATTTGCTGTGTAATTAACTTTTTACCAAGATCAGACGTTTTACATATCAAAGTTAATTTATAAGCATGGAACTAGTCTTGCTTCTTAAGGTTGAAAATTTAATCACAAACAAAAAATTAACCGTATGTAACAACAATTCACTAATTTCGTGGTCCGCTTGACCAATTAATATATTACAATTAATTAAGGTTTTTAGTTGAGATAAAAAAGTCAATGGCACGAGTGGGATTCGAACCCACAATCTTCGGCTTGATACGCTGCCGCTCTACCACTTGAGCTATCGTGACACTAACTTCCCATCTCAACCCCACCTTTTGAATTTTCCCTCCTTTTTGCCATTTTTCAATCGGTGGATCGAGGTCACGATAGCTCAAGTGGTAGAGCAGCGGCGTATCAAGCCGAAGATCGTGGGTTCGAATCCCGCTTGTGCCATTGACTTTTTTATCTCAACTAAAAACCTTAATTAATTGTAACAACAATGATGAACTTTTCATAAATACATAAACAATTAATTAATAAATAATTGTTAGCCTATGTGAAGGAGACATCATAGATAATTTATTATACGTATATAAATACTTTTTTTTATCCCTGTGATAAATTGTCTTATAAAATGATACTAATAGGACAAACTCATATGTCCTATGAGGCATATTTTACATATTTTGAATTTAGGAGATTTGTAGTTGCTTTCTTATATTATAAACGGATAATAATTTATCCCTACTCTTCACAGAAACGACAATACCTTTAGTGATTTTTAATTTTAACAATTTTTTCCTACATTTTAATGGGGGAGTTATCTGTACAGGGTGTGCTTTTTAGATGGCTTGGACAAAATTAAGATTTTTTTTTACAACCTGTATACTAACTGTAAAAAAGTTTAAAAAATCTTTTGAAAGTAGATGGGTAAAAAGTAGATGTTCTCAATTAAAATTTCAAAGTTGTATTGACTCGCAAGTATCCTGACAACAAATATTTTTAAAAAGTGAAAACATTTAAAGTTAGGCTAAGAAATATTGAATACATTTTTTTGATAACGTTATCTCTTCAAGACAAATTCAGCCGGGCGATCTAGAAAGGGCACGCTGTGTAATTATCATTACTCTTAAAGAAAACCCCAAGGGCAGAATCAATAGTCACCAGCTACACAAACACTTTCCCAACTTTAATTTTCTAATAACTTAAATAATAAATTATAATGTAATAAATAAGTTAATATTAGTGGTTGGAGAACATAAGTTTTTAGGATCGGTACACTTGATGTTGCTATAACTTTTCAACTTTTTGAAAAGAAATGATAGTTTCAAGTTCATAATTTACAAAATTAAACCTCCAAGTTTCCATAAAAATGGTATCATTCGTTCAAGTTCCAATCAAAGTATGCAAAAAAAAATCACATATTATGATTCAAACTTCCAATATTAAAATGAAGTATTATTAAATTATTTGAAGTTATTTCAATCATTGGCAAATCACTAAGATCCTCAAAGAAGAAACGTTATTACTGGAATCGAGTTGTTGTTGCAAAATAAAATTGAAATATTAATTATTTATTATAATAAAATAATTATAATTATTTTAATTAATTATACTTTTTATCTAAAGGTGGCCCCAGAAATGCGAGAGTTGCCGAGCAACAATATTCGGTGCCCGTCTTGCCCGGCTAATTGTCGGTTTCCTTGACCGCTTCAAACTTAACAAATATTCGTGAAGTAGCCGAACTCAAAGCATACACACATTTGGGAATCAAGTGTATTGTACAGATATCAACTGCAATCATCTATCAACACTGCTATTTAGTTTTTAATAATAAACTATTTCTAACTAATATAGATGTAAAAGGAACAGCATAGCATTGTTTCAGTCAGTTGGGAATGGATAGGCTCAACATAACAGTCTTGGAGTTCCTGGATCTGTACCAAACTGAACCAATTATTTGGAACATTTTCAATGCATGAAAATGGATCGAAAGTAAGATGGAGCAACAGTACTCGGTGACTGAGTTTGTCAAAACTGCAAACCTGCAGCTGCAGCAATGACCGCTCATTGTAGTCCATCAAGATTGGTACGTTGAGAACAAAGCAACTTACAAATACGTATTTACTGTTTCCGCATAAATTTGGTTGTACGAATGCCGCATGTGTGTATACATAGCTACACTATTTGGCAAATGCCAGGACTACTGTCTGTAAATACTGCATGTCTGGAGCCACCTTAAGGTCTTTATTGAGATGAAAAAGACACAACCTCTGGCTCAATTGAAGTCACGAGAGCTCAAGTTGTAAGAACAGCGGCGTATTGAGCCGAAGGTCATGGGTTCGAATCCGGTCATGACACTTACTTTTTCATCTCGACCAAGACCTTAGATAAAAAGAATAATTATTTACAGTAAAATAAAATACAATACCAGGCACATGGCCTTATCATTGAAGGCGATGCAATTCTATTTACTAGAAAATGGTGCTCTTCTCAAAGGTTCACAAATAGAAAAACAACTCAACTCCTAAGGATCAAGATGAGTTTCTTCCCTAGTTGCCCCTTTTGGCATATGGATCAGCTTTAATCCGGTGCTTAATAGTGCCAAATGGGGAGAAGTCCAAAGGACTGAAATTTTTGTCCAAACCTTCCTGCATACTACCAACGATGTAATTGGCCATTCCACCATCCCTGAGTGGAGGGGCTCCTCCAGCTAGAACTTCTGAACCACAAGCCGGCACTGGCTTTCGTTTTAAGTATGGCTAACCACTCCTTGGGGAACCCAGCTATATGGTAAAGGATTCTAACTGCACCTGAATGACTGCATCAAACCTTAAAGTACCTGCCAGGAGTATCACTAACAAGCCACTACAAATCAAAACCTAATAACAAGCTTTGGACTTGGAACTAACTTCCTTGCTCCCATCTTCAGAGTCATGCTCCATCACCCGTCTTTTCAGACAGGATCTGGTTCGCCAACCCCCTTGAGGCTGGTCACACACCCCCTCTGCTCACCCATGATTTGTCTTTCGAGTTCCTTGGCAAAAAAGAGACAGAAACGTGCCAACACTTTCAGGAAGAACCAGAGACATCAGCACATTGTAAATGTGAAGTAGTTGTGATATGGCAATCCTCCCATAAAAGAGGCGTGCAAAGAAGCACTTCAGAAAGTGCTTTGTCTTGTAAGGAAAAGAGGTATGGTTATCATTTGTTACAACCCAAACAAGAAAAAAAGTGCAGTACGAATCACTGCAACTCTAGACAGATAGATGTTTCCTGTCTTACTTGATGTACTGAAAAGGACATGAGGATCTTTTAAGACCGTACCTAGCCCAAAGGCCATATCAATCCCCCATGCAAGCAAAGGATCGCTTTGCAAGAAGGAGATTAGCTTCTGCCTATGATGTGCTGTTTAATACCATGGATTTTTAAAAAGGCTCTTCCCCACTTGGCTCTTCTGCGGGGCTGGGGCCACATACTGCCTGACCAACATTGCAGCCAAAGCTACTCCCATCAAAATAAAAGGCAGCTTTCGCACAACCCTAGCGTAAATACTTCTGACAGTGGGTCGGCCCTGGTTATTAATTTAAGTGGAATACTAACCACCGCCTAGAGAGTAAACTCTCTAGACTACCCTCCAGAAGTCTCACCACATACCAATACCCAATAGCAAGACAGACATACATACTGCGCACACCACAAATGAACTCATACTGAACACTCCTACCTCTGGTGACAGCGTCCAGAGCACAGCCAGCACCTGTTGCGCCTCCGCCGATGACAAGGATGTCGAATGTCTCTTCTCGGAGGGAGCGTATCTGATGGTCCCGGGTAGGAATCGGACGTTTACACTTATTGACCGTGACAGCAGAAGCTGACGGATCGACCTGGTCGTTGAAAATGGTAATCAGGTTCAGTAAGGTGCGGAAAATGAGGGAAAGCAGAAAAATCACCTTGTTGTTTTTGTTGTTCTCGAGGGCGGACACGGCCAAATAGGAGCCACACGCGGTCAGGACCAGGCCACCGGCCAGTTTTTTGTACATTTCGACTCGGCCGTTTGTCAAACACTGGGCTTCCGTCTTTTAGCTGTCTGTTTCATCACCGTTCACAACCTTGAAGGCTTGAATGACTACCCTCTGATAGGACGCCTCGCACCTGCGATCGCTTCGGCCCCCTCCATCAATTCCATTCATCGAATCTGCTGACACCGCTTATCACTGACATTTATGATTTTTTAATTGCATTAATCGCTTTATCTTCAAATTCCGCAGCTGTTACCTAATCGAAACTTCAAAAAGCCTAGCCTCCGTCGTTTTCTATTTCATTTGCCGGTGTAGTAATTCTGAATTTAAAAATTGTTCTCCCTTGTGATGTTCCGCTGTGTTTTGTGATGAAGCATGACAACTTTGCCATTCGGTCATATGCACTATCAGCGATCAACTGACAGCTGTACTGAAATGACTTATTAAAAGCTTACAACTTGATGAGGAGCCCTTGGCATCTCGTCTCCCAATAGTATACAATAAACATAACAGTCTCCCTAGTTCAGTACTCAGTTGCCGTCCCAGTAAATCTATTTTTTTTTATTGCCGTTAGTTTTTATAATTAGTTTTTTTTAAAGACATTCAAAGTGCCGCTAAGAAAAGAATATAACAAGTTTTAAAACGTGGGTCGACTTGTAACCCAACCACAAGGTTATTCGGGCATTTTCTTGAGAATACAACCGTCACCCTACAAGACTCCAGGATGTCCGAGACGAGTACTTTTACTGCGGAAACAGCTCGAGGTGACACAAGATGATATTTGACATCTTTGAAGACGATTTTCTAACAATTCTAACGTTTCCAGCCGCTCTCAACGCTATCCTGGAGTCTCTGGAAATGGACGAGAACGCTCTGAAGGTACGACAGGAAGAACAGCTTAAAGAGAAAATCCTGCAGTGTTGGAATTTGTTGCAAACAATTTTAAGTTACTCCAGAGGGAAAATAATCCTGATATTAACGTACAAAAACTACGAAATTTTTTTGGGTGATAGTACACCCTATTTGCAGCAACTTCGAACATATAATCCCTATAGCTATCTTCAATCCCTGACGAATTATATTTACTAATAATAATTATTATTATTCCAATTAATTATTCTTTTTATCTAAGGTTTTTGGCTGAGGGATAGGGATAGGGATAAAAGAGGCGGCCACAAGTCCTACTGCACCTCGACCTGAATAGATCTATTGTGCCCCCCTGTTATTTATGACTCATGGCCAGCTTCAAGTTGTTAATCAGCCTCCATAGCTTTTCCAAAAGCTCCATAGTGTAGGATCTTCCTTGTGGTTTTTCTTGTCCTAGTTGCAGGAACGTGCACCTACATAGACCTTTACAGAAACATAAAATGTGTTCTGCGGTGTCCTCCTCTCCTGGCGGTATCTGCACTGTGTAAATTCCTCCTTTGAATGTCGTGTAATCAGGATTCACTAACAGCTCCATGTGGCCACTTCATAAGTTACTGAGAATTGAATCCTTATTACTAGACATTTGAAAATTTGGTAAAAAGAAGGAAAATTTGAGTGGGTGTAGGTGAAATGAGGAGTTGGTGCCCAATGCGATCAGTCACAATATCTCAAGTGGTTAGAGCAGCAGCTTATTGAGCCGAAGGTCGTGGGTTTGAATACCGCTCGTTACACTAATTTTTCATGTCAACCACAAACCGTAGATAAAAAAAAAATTAATTGAAAGAAGTAACTTGGTCAATTAGACCTCTAAAACATAAATGGATTAATTTTTAATAAGTAAAACGAGTATCACTTTACTAACAGCTCCCCGTGGCCACTTCATAAGTCGCTGAGAATTGAATCCTGATTACACATTTGAAAGTTTGGAAAAAAGAGGGAAAATTTGAATTGGTGTAGGTAAGATGAGAGTTGGTGTCCTAGGGCAGTGGCCAGCAAACCGCGGCTCCTTGACTTCTTGGCTGCGGCTCTTTCACTAAATGTTTAGTGCAGACATTGAGCGAAAAGTATTATAGGTGCAAGAAATGGGATTGTCGCTATTTTTAAAGAAAAAAGTAATCACAAGATACTTACCATTGTATTATTCATCAGGAAGCACAATGTGCTCAGACATTTCCTGAAGAAATTTGCTCAGCAGGTTCAAAGACTAGGAACAACAAAGTGATGCTAGCCTTTGTTTAAAAAAAAAAACACCTCTGAATGCCACAGTAACATAAATTAATTTTTTTACCTTTAATATTGATATTGGCAGCTTTGAAATGCAGTTACTGAATTTAAAAAATGAATAATTTTGGAGCTCAAAATTCGAACATCTTTAAACTGATTTACTGCTATTGGTGAAAAATAAATGTGAATTAAGTTTACAGCACAAATGGTCTGCTTTGAAAGATCTGGCAAGGGAAGATATGTTGATTTTTAACACCTGGATGATGATGATCAACTGAAGAAACTAACGTTTGCTGTTCTTTCCTTATTTGGGTTACATATTTATGCGAACAATCATTTTCAAGCATGAACTTTATCAAGAGTAGATTAAAAAATCAACTTATCGATGAAAACTTGGAATCGTACCTAAAATTAAAAACAACATACAAACCTGACTTACCCCTACTTTCCAGGGAAATGTAAGGCCATTGTTCACATTAGTGGAATATTTTTAGTTTTTTTTTAGATAGCTTTTATATTATTTAACTTGTTATATTTTTAAATAAATATTATCTTTATATAAGAATGATCCAAGTTTTATTTAATATACTGTTAATTAAACTAAGACATATTCAGCAAAGGCAAACTTGAGAGGGTACTTTTAATTCTAATTATTTCCATAAAAATGTCTACTAAAGCAAAGCTCAAGTTTAAAAAATGGCTCTGAATAAACTTCAATTTTGTATTTTTGTTTATATTTGGTTCTTTTGGATGAAGAGTTCGCCGACCACTGACCTAGGGGATCGAAGTCACGATAGCTCATGTGGTTAGAGCAGCGGTGTATTGAGCTGACGGTCGTGAGTTCGAATCCCACTTGTGACACTAATTTCTCATCTCACCTCAAAACCTTAGATAAAAAGAATAATTAATTGGAATAAATAATATGGCTGATTATGACCACTAAGCAAATATGGATTAATTTAATAATTACTTCACCAACAGCTCCCTATGGCCACTTCATAAGTCACTGAAAATATAATCCTGATTACACATTTGAAAATTTGGCAAAAAGAGGGAAAATTCAAATAGGTGTAGATAAGATAAGGTGTTGGTGTCCAAGGGGATCGAAGTCACGATGGCTCATGTGGTTAGAGCAGAGGTTTATTGAGCTGACTGTGGATTTGAATCCTGCTCGTGACACTAATTTCTCATCTCAACCCATTCCTCAGATAAAAAGAATACAATTAATATGATCATGCTCTGCAACAAATATAATTCTTACAGAACTAAAACTTTCAAAGCCCTATTCAGAATGCGAGACGCAGAGAAGCCATTCAGTTTCAAATCTCTGTTGGCTGCAGAGAACAATAACATTTATAAAGCCCTCCTGAAATTTATACACGGCATGGACATGTCAATTTAAATTGAGGAGTGTAATTGTTAAAAAAATTAATAAATTAGGGAGAAATTAAGGAAAAAGAAGAAAAGATATGGAGCCCTGGTTAATTCCTATAATAGCGTTATGGCCAATTTGTAATAACAAAAGGAAAAAATACAAAAACTTATTAATCATAATTGAATTCCTTAATTAGTTTTAAATGATAAGACCAAGCTTGCTGCACGTATCTGATCAGTTCCAAGCATTCAGAATAAAATTAGCTGGGTTCTGCTAAGCTTCTTGTGCCCCGGGTGGGTATATTTAAATTCGGCAAGGATACAACCCACAGCCAAGAAATGAATGGCATCCCCTCTCCCTGAAGTTACATAAAACACAGATTGAAAAACAAATTCGGGGAGTACTGTAGATCCTCGTAAAGAAAAGACGGTTAGATTGTCTAGCTGACAGTGCACACTCCTCCTGATAACATTTGTCCATCCTCTGACGGATGTCAATCAACTGAGCACTCCCACTTGTCCCTATTTGCTAAGTTGGAGTCAAAATCGCATGAGTATCTCTCTACCAAATCAATCCAGTACTTGAACCAAAATTTTTTATATATATCCAAAGCTATAAGAGAAAGGTGGTGAGCAGGCAAAGTTAGAATTTCAATGCAGTATCTAATATATAGACACTCTTCAGCTAAACAAAATCTCTGAGTTAAAATTTTTTGTTACTTTGTCTGTGGAAATGTTACCTTAGGGATAGGGATAAAAGAGGTGGCCTCAAGTTCTGTACCTCTACCTGAGTGGATCTATGGTGCTCCTCTGGTTTATACAACTCACTGGCCAGCTTCAGGTTGTTCATCAATCTCCATAGCCTTGCCAGTGGCTCTTTACAGCATTATCTTTCTTGCCCTTGTGCAAGAATCTGTACCTACCTATATACCTTCACAAAAACAGAATGACTGCGTTCTCCTCTTCCTGGCAGTATCTGCAGTTTCTTCTATCTATACTCCTATATGCTTTCTTAGGCAGTAGAATCCTGGTCTTTCGTAAGTTCTGTGGATGCCACTTCTATCTCTTTACATGCCTCATGCCTGGGGTATTAATCCACCAAACTTTAGCCTCATTAAGTATCCATTTTAAAATGTATCCTCTTTTGTGGCAAGATGCTAAGCCACAGTAGGGAGACATGTCGACCATTGTCTATGTGCCCTGAATGCCCAAGGACCCATGCCAGTGATTGGACAAAGATAGAATAAAATGTTTCAAAGCCTGAAATGTGAGGTGTTTCCTACTATCCACAGTGTTACTTGGCACATACCCACTGCGGATAATGAATCTACTATTTGATCAAATATTTCAAAAATCGAGTCGAGATTTTGTCATTCTTGGTTTGATATTAATTGAATTTTCATCAACTTGCAGTTGAATGAGGCCAAAATAGGTGCTGGGAACGACATGCTCAAAGTGATGCAATATGTATTCCCCATAGTTGTTCAGGTGGAGATGGATGTCATAAAGAGATTCGGTTTTACCGACAACCGTGAAGGTAAATTTAACCCTTCTCCAATTTTTCATTTTAATACAACTGCTTCTTTTCCAGGTATAATCCAGTTTACACAGCTGATTGTGGCTTTAGAAAAAGAGGATGACCTCATTGCTGACCTGCACAGCCAAGTACGGGCTCATTACCTGCCACCTGTTACAATTGCGAGTGATGTGTCATTATGATTAAGACTGGTTTAAGTATTTATTTATTTTAATTTAACATTTACTTGTTTTTAAAAATTAACTTAAGAAAAAAAAGAAAGATCCTTTATGAAATTGAGCTTTTTGCCATATTCAATTTTATATGCTTTAACCCAATAATTTAAGTTTTTATACCTGAGAGGACCAAATAGTAAAAAAAATCAAATTGCCATATTTTAAATTGTTTTTAACCATTCCATTGTTATTTATTATCTATTGAAATTTGCTAGGATCATTGTAAATTTTGTGTATTTATAATAGTGTAAAGAGTTTTAATATTGTAACAACATATATCTTAGTTGTAATTTATTTTATTAAGGGTTGATATAAATAAAAAACAAAATATTGTTTTATAAAATTAATATATTCAAAACTTAGTTTTACTTCTTCTTAGACACACCAACAGTTCTTCCTCTCCTACCAGTTGTCTTGGTGTGCTGTCCCCTGACTCTCAAGCTATTAAAAGAAGAACAAATCCATTAATTTTAAAGGAATATATATATAAAATAAAAAAACGTGGTTTGAAAATGGTTTTGAGAAAAAAGCCTGCTGGACTTTTATACTAACCCCCAGTAGTGTCTCATGCCTCTGTGAGCCCTGATCTTCTTCAATCTTTCAAGATCGTCACGAAGTTTAGCATCAAGTGAAGCAGATGTTAACTAAACAAACATAACAATTATATAAACGATTAAAATTAAATAAAAGGAATACAAACCTGGAAGTATTTTCCTTCGACAATATCCTTTTGCCTGTTCAGGAACCAATCAGGGATTTTGTACTGCCTTGGGTTCTGCATGATAGTGAGAATTTTTTCAACCTGTAAAATATCAATTAGACAATTGCAAATAGAATGTAAATTTTTTCTTTAAATATTTTAATTTCATCACTTGCCTCTTCTTCAGAACACTCTCCGGCCCTCTTGTCGAGGTCAACATCGGCCTTCTTAAGAACAATGTTGGCATATCGCCTACCAACACCCTTGATGGCAGTCATGGCGAACATGACTTTGCGCTTTCCATCAATGTTGGTGTTCATCAGACGGAGGATGTGTTGGAAATTCTCTGGAAGGACCAGCGACTGAAAAAAAAACAAGATTAACAATGTGGGGATTTTTACTACAACATAATGAAATCAATCTTATTTATCCAAACACTTTACTTTTTATTTATCTATATCCAATTAAAAATAATATATACATTTAATTGAAAATTAGAGTTGAGGATGAAATAATGAATACAACTTTTTTTAGACCTTATTTTTGAAACTATTCTAGATACATAAGATATAAAGCAGTGAAGATACCTGGTATCCTGTTCCAACTATAACCAACTTAAAAAAAGAAAAATGACAGGAATGGAATAAGATTGACACTGTTCCATGAAATTTTTCTTCTGTGTAAAAAAATAAAGGAAACAAAGGAATTGCAGCAGACAAGTGGTTAGTGTATGACTCTCAGCTCACAGATTGTGGGTTCAATTCCCCACCATCACTCCTGTAATTTTCTGAACGATCCTCTTCCCCCACAAAAATACAGAAGCACCCATTTGTATGAGACATGTTTAATATATTCGTTACGGCTATTACTCTGAAACAACTCCCGGTTCGAAGCTTCTTATAAGGTGTTGCGTATATTTGTAATTGAATCGGTGTCACAGACCTTTAGTACCGCTTTGGCAACATTACTGTGAAGACTTTTTACGATTTGACTTTTTGGGATTTTTTACAATTTTTTGAAAAAAAAAAAAGTGAAAATTGTTGCTGTACCTTGGCAGAGCCTTAACAAATCAGAGCCCTAACGAACATATTAATACTGTAATTTACTGTTTTTGGATGAATTTTTGCTGATGTTTTCTTTCACTACACTCAAATCAATGGGATCAACTGGGACACCGACATGGGGTTCAACACCGATGGTGAAATCTCCAGAACGAAATATGACAAACCACTTTGGGGATAATCATATAATGGATAATAGGAGTTTGATAATTGCCAACAGCTGAAAAATGAGCCAAATTTATGTTTTTCAGTCTTGGCACCCAACTTTTATAAGAAGAGCACAGCAATTTGTTTAGAAAAAGGTTTAATGATGCCGATGGATGCTATTTCCCTGGAAAAAATATTTTTAAACTTTTGCATCCTAGGCCCAGTGATTGTACTTCTTGTCGGAAAGTGATGTACCACTGGAAAACAGCCGTCACAACATTTGCTAATGACACAGCTGATCTCTGTAGAAAAACATCAATACATCCATAAACTGACTAAAAATGGCAGACAACAGAATACATGAATCGACAAATGCTTGGAAGGGCAAAATGAACGACCAGAAATCTGAACACATAAATTTTGCAAATAGAAAATTAGTAGACAAACCGGTCGCCTTCAATGGTAAAGTAATTCCACCCAGAATTCAGTTTTCTTTGTTTTTTCTTTTACAGTGTTTAGTACTTTGACAAAACATTAGTTTTACTTTTTTAAACGGATACCAAGAACTGGAGGAGTTCCCCTGAGTACTGCAGCTGTATCCTACAGCTTGTACTTTATTCCTGGTTTTTTTTTTTTTTTTTTTTGTTTTGTTTTTTTTTTTCTTTTTTTTTTTTTTTTTTTTTTTTTTTTTGGGGGGGGGGGTCTCTCGCAATACATGTGTGAATTTGAGCCCCCAATGTGCCGGTGTTCTTCCATCAAAGAAACTCATTTTTGAAAGGAGGTTAGAACCTAATTCAGGGTCTCTCAGATCTGATCTTGCCCCAGACCTTCCATTTATGAGTGCTGCGTCAATTTCTTTCAATTGTGGCCACTGGTCCCCTTACGTATCAGAAAAAAAAGTCCTGAGGCGACAGTGGCATCAAACCCACGACCACAGGATATACTAGCCGAGAGTAGGAGAGGGGCTTAACCACTTGGCTACCACAGCCCCTCTTCTCAAAATCATAGTTGTGTTGTTTTTCAAAATGGTATGTGGCCCATGTTGTTGGATTAGTTTTTGGTGTTTTAGTCATAGATGTGTTGTTTTTACATTTTTCCAGACATTGAAATGTAATTCCAATGTGTATACCTGGACAGTTCATACAATTAATTTTATAAATTACACTGGAATTGTAGACCATTGATGTTGGGTCTTTGACTGGAAAAAAGTGTGTATAGTTTTGAGATTTTTGAAGGCACTATTTTAATGTGATCTGCGGTGAGAAATGTATTTAATTTGTGTGATAATGTGTGGACAAATGGAGGACATATTGGTTGTGCTACTTTTTATTAAGCTGCCAGCGTCAACTACAGACCCATGAGTTATTTAGTACTTCACGGAACAGGACCAAATACGGGTTAGAGTTTTTAATCTCTACAGCTATGCATTACAGAAGTTAGTTCGGTATCAGTGCGGACTTCTCATCGTCCCTTAAGATCTTTAAAAACAATATTGAAAAAGCTTTAAAATGTAATTGAGGGTTTATTTATTACTTGTTTTGTGGTATTTATTAATCTATTTATAATGTTTGATTTGTTTGTTGTAAGTGTTGGCCCTTCTTTGCTTTTATTTTTATATCCTTTTTTAATAGTTTATATTATAATGACTGATTTGATTGTTGCTTGGCTGTCCTATACTTGGGTACCTGACCTGTTTGGACTGTAAATAAATAAATTTAAAATTAAAAAAAAAGACGGTAAATTTCGGAAATATCATTTTTTGGCTAGTATTTTCTCAAAAACATTTTAAGTTATATACGATACAACGATACTTTTGGACTTAGATTTTATCATGTTTTTCAACAGTAACATACTTATACGGGAGGTAAGGTATTTCTTCTTAACAGGGCCAAAATGTGTTTAAAGATGTGCTACCCCACCCTACTGCACTTGCTTAGCATTGCCCCTTCAGATCCTGGCTTTGCTAGACTGTTAACGGGAAACACTACTTCATTTGAGGACTGCGGAAAAACACTGAGGAGTTCATCAATCAACAACCTTAGAAGTTCTGGGAAAACCATTGAGGATGGCAAAAGACTGGAACCATCTGAGGGTAGAAAGTTCATAAATAACCTTTAATACTCTGAATCTATAAAGAAACTATTACATTGTCACTAAACTCTGAGGCAACAATGTGCATATCCTCCTTAACATTGTTTTACACTTTTAAAGAAAGTAAAGTTTGTTATTTTAACGTACACGAATATAAATTTGTTAATTTTGAAGGAACGTCCAGCTCAACTAATCCAATAGCCTGTGCACTAAGTCCAAATTGAACTTACTTATAAAACTGATAAAAAAATTACTGAAGTTAAAAACGCCACAAATTAAATATGTTAACTATAAAATGTGTCGGCTGGAGGGCTAACCTACAAACCCCACGTCTCTACATTTTGTAATTTAACGAATCGCACGAAATATTTTTCTAAGTAATAAATTACAGGTCGGACTTAAAAAAACACTGATGGTGTTAAATTTAGAAAAACTCCGGGATCGGTTGGATTTTCATCGATGAAATGGTACTTACCATGTTGGATCTCCTCGTTCACGGAACCAATGCCAAACGTGTAAAGGCAGCAGCACAAGTCACTGTAGGAGTGTAAGCAACAGAAACATCGAGTTAACCAGCCAGTCTGACAGTTATTAAAAATCACAAAAAATTCCCGTTTTCTCTTCTTACCAAATGATGAAAAGAACAATTGAAATCATTATTACTACGTGCAATGAGATTAATTCTTTAAAAAATATAGTTTTATATATAATATTTAATATATAATATTTAAATCTGTTTCTTTCAATGTTGGATGGGGGGCCGGTCAATCCTCAAACAACCTGAGGCCAGACAAAAGAATTTCAAATTTATTTACATATTTACTAATCCATATATGTATTTACATTCAGCAGCAATTGACTGTATTCTTTCAACTATTTCAAATCATTATACTTTTAAATGTAGAATCTTAATTATTTTTAAATTAAAGACCAAGTTATTTTTATGCAGTATATATCAGTTGCTTACTGGAGTTCAATTTAGCAAATTGCAGCGAGCTCTGAAGAGGGCCCAAAATAGACAACCAACTGAAATATATTGCGTAAAAATAAATCAATGTTTAGTTAAAAATAATAATAATAACTTTTTTGTTTTGGCCTCATCCCCAATCTACCTTTTGGAAAGAAAAAAGTACATTTAATAATAATAATAACCAACATTACAGTTTTAAAACAATTTTACCACCAAATTAGGTTAAAATTAATGCACCAAAGTAAAATTTGAATTATACTTTTAATCTAAGGTCTTGGTTGAGATGAAAAAGCAAGTGTCTCAAGAAGGTCGAACCCACCTTTAGCTCAGTCAATACGTTGCTGCTCTAACCACTTGAGCTATTAAGATAGCTTAACTTCAAGACGAGTCACTACTACCTGGAGTGAAGAAGTCACAATTCACAGCAAAATTGAATATATTGCATACGGTATATCTAGAGTTATATAGATTTTTTTTAGGTTTCTTTTGTTAAATTTATTTTGATTATTTCACTTTTGCTTTTTATTTTATTCTTTACAAGAAGGCTTTCTACCTTTTTTCCTAGTGATGTGAATGAAGATGATGCCCTTACTCTGATTCACTATCTACATATTTATAATCCATAAATTTAACATTCCCTCTCTTAAGCTAGAGTCTAACCCAAACCTCTTGCTTCCAACCCATTTTTTAATTTAATTTTATTCATTTATTTTTTATTTTTAAAATAAAAGGATATTTCAACTATGAGGTTATATAAAACCCTTGGAGTACCGGTGTATCTAGCTAGGATTAGAAAAGGTCTTTCTTTGAATGCTTACCCATTTGTTCCTTATGGTAAGGTGAGCAAGCTTCTTTTTGTGGTTCTTGTGGAGTGGAATTGAGAGAAAAATACATTTTGGCAAATTGCAAACAATTTGAAAATGCCAGACAACTATATTTCTAACCAGTGGAAGTTTATGGGTTTGGGATGAGGCTAAGCTAATTTTACCAATATTGTAGAATTTTTATCTTATGAAGAATTTACACAACACCATTTACTACACTTAAAGCATCCACTATTTAAAAAAAATTTCTTTAAAAGAAATCAAACAAGCAAAAGTAAAGTTTTTCCAGTCAAGACTTTTTAGCACAAACTGCCATAGACTGAAAACCACTTCAAATTGAACTTGGGACTATTTAAACCATGGTTTTATTTCAGAAACCAGTTTTACGAATGCACGTTCCATAGTTAAACAGGGATCTCTTTTAAATCAGCAGCTGATAAAATTATAAAGTGTCTTTATGTAAATAAATGAAAATGGAAAGGTAAAAATAATTACATTTAGGCCAAAATATCAAAATTTTCTGTGCGTTAAAATATCATTTTAGTGGGATTTGTCAAAATGAGTAAGCAACCGCATATGCTGATATTGGATCCCCAGTCAATTCTTACCTTCAGACCTCCGTTCAACAATAAAAGCCAATGTTTGATCAACGTGACAAATCCAACACCTTATGGGATTTTATTCAAAATGAAGACGACTGCAAGCCACAGGCAAGTTTCCAAACATTGTCACAAACATTGCAATGCTAAATACTGAGAAAACAAAATCCGGTCTGCCTCCTATCCTTGCTGATTTTGTCAGTTCATCATCTTTAATGGTTGGTTAATATGTTGTTCTTTGTCAGTGTGTCCTTTTGCTGACACAGATAAATCCAGCGAGAATAGGAAATTCATGATGATGGTAGATGATCAAAAAATTCTAAATATTAGAGTACTCTCCATTTATTTCTTTCATCCAATAACATTCTACACTCATTTTTGGTATTATTTAATAAAAATTTATAACAATTACATTTTATTATATCAACCATTCATTAATTATTTTGAAGTTTGATGAAAAAGTTAGTACTTCATTAAATTCACTAGTTTCGTGGTCCGCTTGACCAATTAATATCTTACAATTAATTGAGGTTTTCAGTTGAGATAAAAAAGTCAATGGCACGAGCAGGATTCGAACCCACGATCTTCGGCTTGATACGCCGCTGCTCTACCACTTGAGCTATCATGACCTCGATCCACTCGGACACTAACTTCCCGCCTCAACCACACCAAGCGTATCAAGCCAAAGATCGTGGGTTCGAATCCCACTCGTGCCATTGACTTTTTTATCTCAACTGAAAACCTTAATTAATTGTTAGTACTACAGTTGATGGCAAAAAGCAACTTACACTCTGTTAAAAAAATCTTTTAATACTCTGTATAATGCAATTTATACAATTTTGTAGATGTAGATCTATACAATATTTTATTTAGAAAAATTAATTTCTTTTATGCTGAAAACAATTAGAAACTGCTAAAATTTTTATTTTTTATTTGTAAATTTGATGCTTAAAAGGAGAGTCATATTCACAGTTCTAGTTTTTCTTTCTAGTTCTGTTTTTTAATTTTTTTATTGTTCTTTAAAGTTGGTAATATCAATATTATTTAGTGATGAAAGAAGTTTTTCACAAGTTATAACAAATTCTACAATAACCAATTTATTTTTAAAACTTTTAAAATAATATTTTATACTATGATTGTTTCCCAACCAATTCAGAATATGGTACATGACTTTTTTATTTTATTTTTTATTAAACTATATGCCTCTCAGGTATTGTGTGAAACCGAAAATGGGCCGAATAGCACCATATGGAAAGGAGGTGATAACTGTAAGGCTTAAAGCACCTAAAGGAGATACTCAGGATAAGTTCAAGCTACTGTCTTTTGTCGCTCCCAACAACAACGACACTATTGAAGAGGCTTGGGAAAAGTTTAACGAATCGGGAGCGATGACTAACAAATTTGTTGCACTTTTTTTGACTTCTGGCGGCAACGAGCAGTCCACACTTAACATCAACTTGGGAAAACAAAAGAGTTATAACATACCTCCTTTAGAATCGGGGAAAAAAGCAAAAGGGGCAAAGAAAAAAGTGGATTTTAACAAAGATAGAGTGTCTGATTTAGACCAAAAAGATGATGAATACGTGGATGACGATGATCATGAAAACAGCTCAAATTATCCAAGATTAAAACTAATTGCTTTTGTTATTATAGTAATGGTTGTATCAGCTTTTTGGTTTACAGACTTTTTTGAAAAATAAAATATTAAAAACACTGATTTACTTATTCTTTTATAAATTAATATTATTTTTGAAATGGAGTTGAATGATCACAGTGGCCAAGATTGTATTATTGGAGAGATTGGTTATTGAATTTTCTTATTTATCAGATAATTAAAGTAATTGTGGGTTAATGGGTACTCAATATTCAACTATCAACACTGCACATTCAATCAAATAAATACATTCACTTTCTATATACACAAAACGAAACATAAACTGAGATATCTACTAAATGCTATAAATTTTCTTATTTATTACATAATTAATGTAATTGTGGGTCAAAGGGTTACTCAGTATTCAACTATCGACCCTATTACACTACACATCACTCAAATAAATACATTCACTTTCTATAGACACAAAAGGAAACATAAACTTGGATATCTACTAAATGCTATGAATTTTCTTATTTTTTGCATAATTAATGTAATTGTGGGCCAATGGGTTACTCAGTATTCAACTATCGACCCTGTTACCCTACACATCACTCAAATAAATACATTCACTTTCTATATACACAAAACGAAACATAAACTTGGATATCTACCAAATGCTATGAATTTTCTTATTGATCACATAATTAATGTAATTGTGGGCCCATCGGTTACTTACTATTCAACTATCAACCCTGTTACACTACACATTCACTCAAATAAATACATTCACTCTCTATATACACAAAAGGAAACTTAAACTGAGATATCTACTAAATGCTATGAATTTTTTTATTTATCACATAATTAATGTAATTGTGGGCCAATCGGTTACTCAGTATTCAATTATTGACCCTGTTGCACTGCACATTCACTCAAATAAATACATTAACTCTCTATATACACAAAAGGATACATAAACTGAGATATCTACCAAATGCTATGAATTTTCTTATTTATTACATAATTAATGTAATTAAGGGTCAATGGATTACTCAGTATTCAACTATCGACCTTGTTACATTACACATTCACTCACATAAATACATTCACTCTACATACACAAAAGGAAACATAAACTGAGATATCTACCAAATGCTATGAATTTTCTTATTTATGACATAATTAATGTAATTATGGGCCAATGAGCTTATATATATAAAATGCAGGGTGGGTGAAACTTCTTGTTGTTCACAAACCCCAAGATTTTGGACCATTTAATCTCTGGGAGTGATTTGGATGTCCTCTCCTTCATAGATGGGCCAATGAGTTACTCAGTATTGAACTATCAACCCTCTCACACTAAACATTCACTCAAATAAATAGATTCACTCTCAATATACACAAAATTAGATACCTACCAACTACTATATACAATAAAACAGATCTGTTTCATCCAAAAATTGGAGCAGGGCACCCAAAGATTCTTACTTGCTCTTATATGGTCCCAAGAAATGTCACCATTCAATTAAGTGAGACCCATTACTTTCTCTACCTACATACAGGATGTATCTTAAGGGATTTGGCACAGAAGTAGGTGTCCATGTGTCAACCTAGTATAGCCTAAGTCAGGTGAGTTAGTGTGATCTCTTTTCTTCGATTCTCTGAGGGTCACCTGTCTACCATGCTTTTGATATGCGAGAGCTTCTCTGCTCATCCAACCCACCAAACACTGCCATTTCTTTCTAATTTTTTTTAATCGTCAGAGAGCCGGATTGCGTTGGTTAGGTCTGGAGGTTGGGACACTTGGGCCTTAGCCGTCTCGTCCGCCTTTTTGTTATCTTCCAGTCCTATATACCCGGAGACCCATACAAACACTAGTTTTGCTAAGATACTTCGATTGAGAGCATTTCTTTGACAAGAGCATGATTAGAGAGTCCTAAGAGGACCTGTCATGGTTAGTAGTAAAAAAGTCAGTTTAGACATGAAGGCAGAGCCCTCATCATCAAATGCGTGCCAAATCGCATAGAATTTGGTAGTTTGGCAGGAACAACCATGAAGTGGCACCCTTGCTATACATGGTGTACACCACACCTGTTAGCCCTTGTTGTCTATCAGCTGAAGTAAATAAAACATTATTTGTATACAGGCGTTTAATGCCACATATTACATAAAAATTAAAATTCTTTAATATGACAGAGGCAAATGGAAATAACAAATGTTATATTTTACACAAAACATTTTACAGTTATTTTTCATTATTTATACACTTGCAACTAGCATATTTTATCTTATACACCAACATTTTTTTCAGCCTGTGGAACTGATTTGAAAAAATATTCTGTGGCTTGTTTTTATTCGCAATACAAAAATATTACCTGACTACATTCAAGATGTGTACTAACAACTATGTTTTTTTATTTGTTTTAAAACTAAAATATATTATTGTAATAAATCTAGTAAGATGAAATGAATAAACAAAAGAAGAAAAAATTCACAATTATTGTTTTTAATTAATCTCAAATGGAAAAAAACAACGAAAAAGCCCAACTATATTCTTTCTGCTGGTTTCTTCATAAAATAATTATAAACAGAACAAAAATCAACATCTGTACACAATTATTGCATGCATGCAATGAATTATATGAAGGGGGAAGGTGTACATAACAAGGATCTGTACATTCATAATTATATTACATGGTTTATTTATAACACTTTGGTTTAGGTAAATCTATTGTACACGAAAATATTTTCTCACTAATTAAAAGTCTCTGACTTAGAAATGAAAAAAAAGTTTACAATAGTAAAAAATAATATGTATATATCTGTATATATATATATATAAAATCTCCTTGTGATATTTCATCACAATAAGCCTGGTTCCATAATGCATTGCTTTCACCCTTTGCTAAACAAAACAAATGCTTATGAAATTCTTTAATTTCACAAATAATTATTAATTTTTATCAAATACTGTTACTTTCTGACACTAATTATTACAATGAAATTATTTAAAAGATAATTTCAAGAAGATTTACCTAGGTTTTTATCTTCTATAAATCTTTTCTTGCAAACACTATTATATTTATATATATAATTATAACAATATTAATTTCTTTGTTTTAGTACAAAATAAGTGTATGTATTATATGTTTTTAAAATTTAAATATCACATAATAAAGTGCTTGTTTGGAAGTATTGAAGTATATACACACAAGTCAAGATAAGTAACAGCATGTGTATAATTTTTGTAGTTTTTTTTTTTTGTTATATAGAGTGAAAGGGTAGCTATTGAAGAAAAATAGTGTCTAGTCAAAAATGCTAGCAAAGACGAAAGTTTTATTTTTATGTTAAAGGGTATTTTCTTAATGGAGGACGTTTAGCACCAAATATATTGGATGGCAACAATACTTTTGCAGTCTGTTTTTAAAACCTTTCCTTTCCTTTAGATATGAACTTTTCAATTTACAATACTCAAAACAGAAAATTTAATTGCCAGCCTAAAAGAAAAGTTAAAATAAGCAAGAAAGAACTGTTTCAAAATTTGAAACTAACAATGCACTTTTTGTTTTGATAAAACTTATCCTGTACTAAGCCATAAAAAATATCAAGACATTCATTTATATACATTCAGAAAAAACAACAAGAAAAATCAACATTTAGAAAAAGGTTGAATTAGAGAAAACCAATCTTTAACTTTTCATTTTAATGATCCATAAGTGACATCTACTATCCAAAAAATATATACAAAAATAATATTGGTATTTATATTCTAAATGTAATTTTTATATACTTTTTTTTTACAAAAATTGTTATTTCACTGTACAGACAAATGGAAAATATTTCCTTGTTGCAAAAAAAAAAAAATACTTGCTATGCTTAAATATGTATGCATATATATGTATACATATATGTATATATATGTATAAATATACATCTTTCTTCTAATTTGTTTTCACATTAAGTTCTCTTTCTCTACGTACATATATTAATTATTTTCTACAGAGAAGATAATAAGGAAGGAACGGGAACAGGCGCATAAACCTGATGTGCTGTGCTGATGGGAAGTGATCAAAGTTTACAGAATAAATAACAGACTTGGGGAAACATACAGATCATAAGGATGGAATTGGAAACAATACAATTTCTTTACTGTCTTCCCAGAACCTCAGAATGAATTGTTGATTTAAAACGATTTTTTAAAAGAATTTTAACTTCTTACAATTTATGCTCATTTTGTTCTATCTAATCTATAATTTTTTTTTTTAAATCAGTGGTTTTTTTCTTAGTGAGTTTAGTTTGATGTTTCAAAATACAAGTCAAATATTATCAATAATAATAACCCTTTTTGTAAAAATAAACATTTTGAAGATGAATAGAAAAATAAATGTGAATTTGTTAAAATGTAAAACTTCCATAGGTACAAAGTATGCAATAGTTGACGAAACAAAATGTTTTCACATGCTGAATTTTTAAAGGAATTATCATAAGATTTCCATTGATTCAAATACTTTGATCCTGGGAAATTAGCATTTTCGTTTGTTTTCTGGTAAAAAAATAAACTCTATTTATCGTAACATTTCCATATACTGTATAATTACAACACAGGGAAGGTGAAACAGAAGAAAGAGAGAGAAAGAATGAGAGTGCGTGAGGGAGGGAGAGAGAGAGAGAAAGAGAGAGAGAGAGAGAGAGAGAGAGAGAGAGAGAGAGAGAGAGAGAGAAAAGAACAATAATAAATAAAGTACACAAATTTTTTATCTTCCATATTGAGCATTGGATTTTTAACCAGTCATTTCTATAATATATACCTATGAGTCTACTGTACAAAATCACTTTTTTTTTCTTTTATATGTTATACAATATATGTGTATAATTAATAATTACACCACAAAAGCAGTATTTATTTTTTCCAAGTTAGCAGTTTCATTCTTCATGCTAGAAATCTAGCACCTATACATTTTTTAATAATATATTCCATTTGAAAGCCCTAAAAGTAATTTTATTTTATGTTTAAAACAAATTCTTCGTCCCAACTTTAAAACTGCTAATTCATACATTAACATCACATGAATTTTTTTAAAAATATTAAATTTATAATATTTAATTTTTTATTTGTCTTAAAACATTCTGAGAAAATTGAGAGGTAATTTATTCAGCATAAGCGGAAGATAATTGGAACAACCTTGATGTTAAAAAGACATACAATTAAAAACATACACAAAATAGCTTAAAAATGGGTTTAGGAAAACTATCAAATATTTTAATCTTTTTTTTTGTTTTTTTGCAGTGGTAACGTACAAAACTTCAGACAAAATTTGAGTCACTCCACACTGTTGTGAAATGTTTAGAAATAATGTTGATGACTATTTTTGAATGCCTGGCAGTCAAGTGTAAAAATAAAACAATGAAAACTTATCGAACTGCTTAATCACTAAAACAATGCATGGTAACCACCCGCATTAAAAATATATTTTTTTCTGTAATTTACTAAATAAGTGTATTTATAATATACATATAATATAGTTTTTATATTTTAAAAATGTACACGCATAATTTTTTCACTTTTTTGCATACACATATAAATTCTATATATAATAAAAAATATATATAAAAATATTTATCATTTTTGTTAGCTCTGAGCTTCCCAGATTACCTAAGGTTTAATTGTGAGTAAAAAATATATATAAAAATCATATATAAATTTTACATATATATTAATTTATATAAACTTCCATAAACAAGAAATCTATTGATAAAATTGTCCATTTCAAGTTTTCAAATTGAAAAATAACTAAGATTTCTGTTAAGATGCAACTTTACAACTTCAAGAGTGTTTATCCACAAAATAAAATATAAAGATTTATTACTAATAACAATTAATAATGCACTTTGAAGAAATGTAAAATAAAGTCTATTTATGAACAGGTACACGAGGCTACTCAGAAAGTAATTTCTGTAGGAGGGAGGATTTTTGGTCATTGGGTCTATTGACTTCTTCAAGCCCGCTCTACAAAAAAAGAAAAAAAAGAGAAGATAAATAAGAAATTCAAAGATATAATTATATGTATTTTAAAGAATAGTTGTACCCTTGAAGCCAGCGAAGCAGATTGAGGACTAGCTCCTCCCATATCTGACATGCCACTCCACATTTTAGGACTTTCAGAAACACCAACTGTAAACAAAAACAAAAAAGTTAAAAATATTTTTCATCGTTTGTTTTGCCCACGGTATATCCTACTGCTTCTTTAGGTTAGAGTTTTACCTAATCATTTTTGGTAAGGTATGGGCTATAATGAAAAGTAAGAACACGCATTTCAATTAAAAATGAACTACAAGGTCTTTTCACTTATGAACTTTGTTCCAGGGACGAAACAGTAATTAGACTAAACTACATGAAGGAAGGAGTCACGATAGAGATGATGATAGCCTCAACATGCCTTATAACTTATTGGGCCTCCACCATTCTCCTGAGCACTGCAGCTTTACAGCTTATTGTACTCCTTCATGTCTCCATTTTTGGGCAGCTCGCAACACGCGAGTGAACTGAGCCCTCTGTGTGCTGATGTTCTTCCACCAAAACAACACATTTTTTTCAGAGTCGGGGGATCCAGGACTATAAAATCGAGGGTTGCTTAAATCCGGTCCCACCCCTGAACCTTCCATTGATAAATGCCGTGTCAACTTTCATTGCAGCCACCCCCCTATGCATCAGACTTAACTTGGTCCTGACTTTTTGTTTCTCGCCCATTAAAATTACATTAATAAATTTTAGGTTTTGTAATTGTAGTTTGTAAGGTAATAAAAAGCAAAACCCTTAATCTGAGCTAAAATAAAATATGATTTTTAAAATTTAAGAAAGTAACACTATGAACTTTTTTGAAATCTTTGTAAAATTATAAGTATAGAAGAATTATCACCTTGTGGTTGGATGTCAAAAGATATCCCAAGGTTCTCGAGGCCGGTGACCTGATGATGGGGTGACATCGTGACTTGCTGACCACCGCCTGACTGTCTCACTCCACTCCCTGTCACCCCGGTCCTTGCACCGACCATCGCCCTCAGTTCCTGCCTAACATACTCCGTCATACCGTTGTTCCCACCTTTAAACGACAAGTAAAAATTAGAAGGCAAATTTTCAATCCTTGAAAATTAATAAATAAAATTATATAAATATATTCATAAGAAATTTAAAAATAAATAAAATAACATTTTGCTATAAAAATAATTTTTAGAGAGAAAAATTAATTTTATTAAATGGCTGGAACTATCAAGTGGCACGATTTCCCCTACTTTAGGCATTTTTTTATAACGCAGTATATAAAGCAGAAATAAACGCTTTATTCTTACTTGATCAAGAGCTTGATTTTAAAATAAATATTTTTATTAAAATATAATTCCCAAAACTAAAAAAATATAGCCATTCATTTTGTAGTAACCAATTGCTATGATCTTACTGGGAAAATCTGACTGAATTTAATAAATTTACAAAATGTGATACAAATCATGACAATATTTGCATTATTATCCAATATGGCCAATCACTGTTTTTTTAACCTATCATATTAGAATTATGTTTATCTATAACCATGCTTTTATTAACAATGAATGTTATGCAGGTATTATAAAGTTTTTATTAATTGAATTTCTTTTACAAATTTTACAATTGTAATAATAAATTTTGAAGAAATTTAAGAACAAATAATTTTTGCCTGATAAAAATTAACATTACGATTATTACCCTGGAAGTTTCTGTTTTCATTACCGATATCAATAAATTGATGAAAATATATAAAACAGTCATGCAATAATATTATTAATGCTTTATAACCAAACATTGGTACAAATGTATTTAACAATAATAACTAGGACACACAATAGAACAAACACAGTTGAGAAAACAAAAACAAAAAAACAATGAATTCAAGGGTTGGTAACACAATTAACAACAAAGGTTAGTCACACATATGAAGCGAGTGCAAATTACATGACAAGAAATTGCTTGAAGCACAAGCAAACCCCACATTAATTTAAAGAAAAGAATAAAAAGAAAACACATTAAGAAAGCACAAAGTATCGTTCACAAAAAAAAAAGAAAAAGACGCATGCAAAGTGAAAATACAGACAATACAGAAAATTTGCACAAAACACATGAACACAAAATATAAATACACAGTATAAAAAAATATTTATTATAAAAATTTTATTTGTATGGTTCTCAAAAAATATGTTCTATGGTTTTGAGAAGCATCTTAAAAATTACTTACATTTTTAGCAATGATTTTTTTTTTTTAAATGAAGCTCTTTACTATAAAACATACATTATTTTAATAAACATATTCAACACATACTAATAATAAACTAAAAGCGTATGTATATTTCTTATTTTGCATGTAAACCCAAAAAGCTGTGTTGTATTATGTTGTTTATCCCTTAGTGAAATGTCTAAATAGAGTGCTGCAAAATAAAAATAAAATGTTAAAATGAGAGCAGACATTTAAACAATACACAAAGGTGAGACACATAAATTTGCGAGTGTAGCCATTATTTCAAGTGCTCCATGTTACACACAAAGGATCCTCTGGGTAAAGGACAACTATAAGGTTTTAATTCATGTGTATTATCACTCACTACATGGATTTCTAACTGGAGCTTTACAATTCACCCAAAATTTGTTTTAATGTATACAAGTTTTTCTATAAAATCAGTTTTTTAAAAATAAAAAACCCTTTAATTATTAAATACCTTTATTTTTAAAATTAACAAATGAATATTAATTCATTATTATTAATATATTGTACATTTTAGTAGTACTTTAATAATAAAGTAAAAAAATTACAATGCTAAAGAGTACTGCGTTGTAAAATGAATATATACTTTTGTTGACATTGGTCACAATTCAACTTAAGATCCTCCAAAAGTGTTTTGTGTTCACAATTCGTTGGGGTTTCCAGGTTTGAAATATTTTAAAAAATGATCTCATTATCAATAAAATAGTCAGTATTTCATCAATTCGATTTCTCGTTTTGAAATGTTTCATCTTGGCAGTGAAAAGGATACAAATGCGAATTTTCGGTAAAACACCTTTTGCAGGATCATAGTTTTGATTAATTTTCAAAACTTCTAATTTCTCAACACATTGTGGCTTTTTAAACAATAATTTTTATTTTGCGTCATATAAATATGGCTTCAATTTGAAAAAAAAGCAAATGGGAGTTAAAAATTCAAAATGGTAAAAGTACATTGTTCAAAATCTACATAAATTTTCTTCCTTCAACAAATGTTTGCTGTGAAATATGATGCACATGTAATTTTTCATTTGCATGAGCTTAATATAGCTGAATTAATTTAGTTATTTTCTTCCAGATTCTTTGGCTAGCATTCTTCTAGATAGCACAAGGGAAAAATTACATATGCATGTCTCATTTTGGCAGATTTAGTACAAATACTAAATAGAACTTGTAATAATCATGAAATACAACACATCCCGAATAAACATAATAAACAAATAAGAATTAAGTCTGCCTACGTAATTGTTTATAAATTATATAGCGTAAAAAAATACAAATACCACATGTAGTGAGTGTTGATTTTTAATTATAACCCAATTGGATTCACCACCAAACATATATTATTAGCTTTGTGACAGTTGCAAAAAAAAAAGTCTATGACAGCATAAAACATATTGTGTTTAAAGGAGATGTGAAAGGATATCAAAGGAGGAACATGCTATCAAGGAATTGTTGCTAGATCGTTATTAAAACTCAGATCTAGGCCGACGATGGGTTTCCGTGTTTTAAGACTTACCGCTAGGGTGGGGCCTAAGGCTGTACCCTTCAACACCCGGGTACTGGCCAGTGTACTGCTGGTCAGGATAAATGAGTGTATGGTGGGGGTGGTGGTGTTGTTGTTGTTGTTGTGGTTGGTGATGGTATGGTTGAAGCTCCTGCAGGTCCTTCCCAATGTAACTGGGACGGATGCAACGACCGCCTCCTGAAAAAACATGGCCAAAACCTTCTTCAAGCACCCAATTTACTTTCTTCTGAAATCGGTCCTCGATGACGGCTCCACGGCTACTTTTTTCCCTAACCTCAGCTTTGTCTTGGGCAAATGGATGCATTTCATGGCATAGTCGGTAGTAATCTTTCATGCAATTAATAATTTTTAATTTTGGGTTAAACGATGAATATAAACAACAAAAACCAGTATTACCAACTATCATCCCATCTCTAAAATTTATATTCCCACGCTCCCCTTCATTAAAATGTCTCCTCTATTCAAAAACTTCTAGAATGCTTTTATATTTTAGATGCATTAAAAACAAGTAACCAATTAGTAATTAAATTTACAGACTTATGCAAAGAGTTTGATAAAGTTTGCCACCTCATACTCTTTTATAACTGAAATAAATTGGATTCTCAAGTCAAATACTCAATTGGATTTGAGTGATTGAAAAAAAATCTAGTATCTATTAAAAAAAGTCTTTTAAAGAAGATTCAAGTGATCCCTGGTGTACTTCGGGTGGCCAGCTCTTTCCTTTATTATTTATTACAATTAATTAAGGTTTTTAGTTGAGATAAAAAAGTCAATGGCACGAGCGGGATTCGAACCCACAATCTTCGGCTTGATACGCCGCTGCTC